TGGTGTGTGTGTGTGTGTGTGTGTGTGTGTGTGTGTGTGTGTGTCAGTTCTGAATGCACCAAGCAACCTGGGAAAAGGCTATTGGGAGTTCTGAGTGAGGTGACTTTGAGCAAGTTTCCCTGATTCCCCTCCATACACATACCTGGTGCTCATGACAGGCTATTTGTAATAGTGAAGAGAATAAAAAAATACTCGTGCCGTCCTTTCAAAGTAGGAAGACGCGACCAGAAGAGAGACATGGAGCGCTTAGAGACGCTGCAGGTGGTAAACAAGCTGTGAAATACGCTCCTTTTGAAAGCATGCTCGGGGCTGCTCAGTTGTTCTCATTGTTTATGACTTTTCAGTAAAAAGTTTCCATCCTTCGCTCGGAGGGGTTTCAGTCACCGTGGTCTTGCTTGTGGGCCCGGCCAGTTCTGAGACGGACTGTGTGTTGCTTGTGTTTGCTGGCTCCACGTCACTGAGTGGCCTGTGTGTTTGGCTTATGTAACTCCTCTGAAAGTACCTTCTGTTTAAGGAGAGCCAATTTGCCGCCATGCTTTTTAAGGAAAATTTTGCAGGGTAAATTAGCCCAGCTGGGTCTGAGTTCTTTATTGTTGGCTTGGTCGACGCTCCCTACAGAGTCTGAGAGATGGACGTCCTTACCGCTCTTCTAATTCTAGGTAAAACTGGGAAATTACCTATGAAAATAGAGTTTAATTGCCTGATTTTAGAAAGCGCTTTGTAGATTGCTAATGGTTATGGTGTAAGAAACTGCACTAATTTGTAATGCAAAGGTTTATGCCTCGGTAATGCTTATATTTTCAACATTAGCCTAAAATATACGGACTTCTTCTTCTGACTAATTTTGGAATGGCAAATTAAAACATGGAATTGTCTTAGGTAGTGCACCGGAGGCGATCAAACACAGCCTGGTTTTTCTGCTACTTTAACCAAGCAGTATCTTTTCAATTTGTTTTCTGAAACAACTGCATGTTTTATTTTGTCTTGATGGTAGTTTTCCTTTCCTGATGCTTTGAATATGAAAACGTTAGTGAACCAGGTTATGAATAAGAAGTCAGGTTATTTAAAAAGAAGGTGCCTATGTGAGCTCCGAGGTGTTCATTGAGTACTTAGACGTATGTTTGCCATGGTTTCCTGTACTGTGGGGATACCACAGAGACTCCTGCAGTTCATAGTTTCTCCCAAAAAGGTTCTAATGGGCTCCTGTCTCTGGTAGCCTTCGTGAAAAATATTCATTTGTGTTTGCAAGGCCTGGCTGTTTCTGAATCTGGAAGTAGCAGCATTCCGAAATTCCTGATCGTAGCACTGTCCAAGGGGCACATGTAAACAGCACCGGTTTCCTTGTTGTAGTTGGATCTCCGAGCCGAGTCACCCACAAGAGGGGGCTCTGTAGAGCAACCGGGCAAGATCCTCAGGGTGTGAGGACTTCAGGGTGCTTAGTTATGTCTCTGGCTTTGTTTTCTGCTCACCTGTGCGCATCCTCTGGCCAGCATTCCTTTCGTGCTTATTTTGTGCTCATTTTCTGCCACATTCCAACCAGCACTCCCACAATGGCAGCATGGGATGAATGCGCAGGCTCTGGCTTCAACAGCCTTGGGTTTGAATGGGGTCCCCCCCTCCCCCCGAGCAGCCGTGAGTGCTTTGGCAGATCTAGCCTCCCTCTTCTACCCAGTGGGTTTCCTTAATGCTGCTTGGCAAGGTTGATGAGAGCGGGTGGCTGCTGGCTCGTGGATGCACATTCAGTGCAAATCTTCTGTGCGCGCAGGACAGCGCCCCGCAGGTGTGCACCACGCAGCCATCTGGAGGGAAGCTTGAAATGTGTGAGAGACTTACTTGGTTTTGATCAGAGTACATTAGCTGCTGTTCTGGATTGATTCGGGTCCCCTTCCCCGGGCCCCTGCAATAGATCTGTTGAAGTCCTAACTCCTGTATCTGTAAATATGAACCCATTTGTGAATGGGGACTTCTTTTGTGTGTTTCTGAGGCCATACTGGAGAGGGCTGGGTCCCCAACAGCATCATATCTGAACAGGGCCTTACGAAGAGAACAGAGTAGACACCCGACACGTGCTGGGGAGAGACACCGAGGACTTCCCGGTGGGCAGCCTCCTTGCTGTGGCCGAGGGCCCAGTGGAGCTGCACGGGAACTTCCGGGGCTCTGACAAGGAAGGACACTTCCCTCGAACCAAGACTCTGAGTTCAGCCTCCAAGACGGTGAACCAGCAGATGGCTCTGTCTGAAGGCCTCTCGGTAGTCGTTTTGGCGTCAGCAGCACTGGGTAATGAAGACAGCCCCCATGGCGTCAGTCCACGCTGGGCATATGTCCCTCTCTTGAGCTAGGACCGAGTGACCTGTTAGTTAAGAGATAACTCTCCAAGGGGGACTGAGCACCAGGGTTGTCTTCAGTGTCCACAGAGCCATCCCTGCAAGAAGGGGCAGACTGTTCTGTGTGGCCCCAGGTGAGCATGTCAGCTAAGTATAAGGTGCTTGGTAGGGGCTGTCGAGTCAGTTCTAGTTCATTGCGGCCCTATGTCTGTACAACAGAACTTCCTGAAAGCGATGCTGTCCCGAGGTCGAAGAAATGCTGAGCTCCGATTGTGGTGTGCTCGCCATCCTGAAATGTGCCCTTTCTGGTGGGTG